CGTTCCCAGCATGTGCTGCTGAGGTTCCTGAAGTCAGGTTGGATGAGACTGGAGCTTTGAGACCTCTGTATTCCTGTTACTCTTCTTTTTAATATGGGTTGGCGATATTTTCATGCTACTACTGGCTGTGTTGTGGGTTTAAAAGATGAGATCTTTGGAGTTTAGACTGTGAGGAGGTGTGTAAGGAGGTGCGTAGCGGTCAGCCAGATGGGCTGGGGACATCCCCCCCCCCCAAGCATCTTGATTCTGCTGAAGGTGGCAGCAAATGTGTATTATATATCTAAGCAGAAAAATAGCAAAATGACAACTAAAATTGATACTTTTAGCCATTGTCATTATATCGCTTCAGTGGGAATAAGCTTGTGGTATCTCACAAAGCCTTCCAATTTCCAGCCGTACTAGCTTTGTCCTTCTTTCAACATGTTTTGTGGTTTCTGAGGACCTGTTGTGACCTCTTTCTAGAGCTTCATAAACATCTTTTTTTTTGGCTGTGCCAATGTCTAGTGTTTTTAGCAAAAAATATTTTTCCTGTATAGGCCAAGTTAAACACAATTACAAGGACAAAAAAACCCAAGGCAGCACAATTTGAATCTGCTTAAAAAGTATGGATGTGACTGGAAGTTGTTAGGAAGCCTAAGTCGGGCAGTGACGTGCTGGAGCGTTAGAAAAGGCTTGTGCTGTCCACTGACGTTACACTGGTGTAGTCTTAGCCTTGGAGAAAGATCTTTAGCTTTTATAACAAACTGCTGGCATTGCAGATGGATTCAAGCCAAAGCTTCAACAGCTTTGGCAAACAGAAATTTTGGAATTGAATTTTGTTTAATTAAAACAAAAACTTTCCTAGGCCATGATATAGGCAGATTTGGTTCTGCTTCTACATTGCCTGTAGCAATCCACGATTCTGCAATCCATAATGCAGGTTAGAGAGAATTGATGTTTTCATTAACTACCCAGACAAGCAATATTGTTCAGCTTCAAACTCAAACAATATGTCAATTCCTAAAAAGGATATACGTTTGTGTCCGGTGTAACCATGCTGAAGAACATTCTTCTAGCAAATATAACCAGTCCTTCACAAAGGAGGCATATTCGTCTGCAAGGGCTCTTAATGGAGGAAGATTTACTGCCAAACACGTTCTTGCGCACGCTTTCTATTCATCTATTCTAGCATGAACCCAAACTTCACTGCATCTCACAAGTACTGTATGTTTAATGCTGTTGCGTTAACTGTATGCTTAGCTTTGTTTTCTAGCACATCTTCATACATTGCTTTGTCTGAAGTGTTTACATGACCTCTGCTAACAACGTGGAGTGTTTCAGTAGTACTTCGTGCATGTTAATCGCAGCTCGCTTGTTTGAGGAAACCAGTGCTGTGTATTCCCCAGGTGAGAGAGAGAAACTGGGCCACAAGGACACAGATCTGCCTGCTCAGCCCATTCCACTGAAATGCAGATATTTACACCACGAGTCCGTAGTAGCTACGAGCTGTGTGTAGCTCATGCTTTAGTGTCAAGATGCAGTCTGCAACGTGGGGGAGCTGTAAGCGCAAGGTAGGAGATTTGCAATAGAGCAGAGGCTGTAACCCAGATTTCTTAATTCCAGGCTGTCGTGGTTTAGCCCCAGCCAGCAACCAAGCACCACACAGCCGCTCG